GCATCAAACATGATTGCCTACTTACTGTCGAAGCTACCACCACACCACAGCCGGATTTGCTGAGCACACCCATTACAAACCCTGATTTAATCCTGCTTACGGACGGTTCCTCGTACTACCCAAGAGACAACTTGCTGTTAGCTGGGTATGCCATAGTCACCCCAGACGAAGTGATGGAGATGTATGCCCTGCCCGAAGGAACCTCGGCGCAAGCTGCCGAACTGTTCGCAGTCACCCGAGCCTGCATTCTGGCTAAAGACGAAACAGTAAACATTTATACTGACTCATGCTACGCCTTCGGGGTAGTGCATGATTTCGGGCAACTGTGGAAGAACAGGGGATTTATCACCTCATCAGGGAAATCGATTAAGCATGCCACCCTGGTAGTGAATCTTTTAGAAGCCATACAGCTGCCACAGGTTGTAGCGATTTATTAAATGCGAGGCACATACCTCTGCAGGGGATGAAGTTTCTAAGGGGAATAGGTTCGCTGACAAAACAGCGAAGGCAGTGACTGTTCGACAGTCTCCATTGCTGCAGGCACCACGGGTTGAATCGGGAGGTAATGAGCTCCCTGTGTGTATTGAAGTGCTACAATTGGAAGAGGCTCAGAGGCTCGCCTCACGCCAGGAGCAGAGCACCTGGCACAAGGCAGGATGCTATCAATCTGGTTCTATATGGCGCCACCGGACGGTCGCGTGGCTTGCCCCCGTAGTTTATTTTTGCTCCTGGCTCGCCTGGCCCATGGCCAGGCTACATGGGCAAAGGAGGGATGCAGCATGTTATCACCCAACAATGGTATGCCCCTGGGATAACAGTAACCATTGAGAAAGTGGCAAGGACTTGGTATGCCAGCAGAATAATAGAGGAAGGACAGCCGCTACGTTTGACCACTTACCCCAACCAGAATTGCCTTTTGAAAATTTGCAAATTGACTTTGTGCACATGCCTGCTGAGAAGGGGTTTAAGTATATGTTAGTAATCGTTGACATGTTCTCCAGATGGGTGGAGGCCTATCCAACGAGGAGGGATGATGCTAGAACTGGTGATAAATATATTAACGAAAGAAATCATGCCTAGATTCCGTATTTCAGTGGGAATAAATAGTCACAGAGGGACCCGCTTCACCAACAAACTGGTACAAGGGTTAAAGGAAGCCCTAGGATTTCAGTGGAAATTGCACATCCCCTACCAGCCCCAGACCGCAGGTATAGTGGAAAGAATAAATGGAGAAATAAAAACGGCCCTAACAAAGGTCTGCCAACAAAATGGCCTCAAGTGGCCAGAAGCCCTACCCTTAGTACTGTACACGATGTGAAATCAAAAGAATAGAAAAACGGGCCTCACCCCTCATGAGATTTTAATGGGACAACCTATGACAACAGGAGCTAGGCCTCCCGTGACCCCAGAAAGGGTAGCTTTAATATGGAATGATGAGAAAACACTGAAGTATGCGCAGACGCTGTGTCAGGAGGCAGGGAAGTTACGTGAAAGAGTCCGACAAGCCCAAGCACCGCTAAAGGAAGGTAATGTGCATCCGTTTAAGCCGGGAGATAGGATATACGTGAAATCGATGAATGAAGACTCTTTTTCCCCCAGGTGGAAAGGCCCTTACCTGGTGCTTCTAACGACCCGCACGGCTGTTAAAGTGAAGGAGAAACCTGACTGGATCCACGCCACTACGTGCAAGTTGCACTACGACGAAAAAAGAGAATAATGTCCTCCCGAAAAGGAAAGAAAACATCACTGAGAACGAAAGGACACAACATGCGAAGAAGTAAAATCCTGATTGTGGCAATTGGACTGATATATGTTTTCGGATTGCATAGAGGAAAGGCAATAAACACGTTTCTGCGTATGTCTCATGAGTATGCTGATAGAAGTAGTGTCTCTGCTTGCTGGGTATGCACCCTCGTCCCTCACCATGGAGGGGAAGGGCGCATCCCGTTAAGGTCAATCCCTTTTAGCCTAGTGATGTGTACGCCTGGAGATGTTTTAAATATCATACAAGAAAGGAGGGAGACATTAGAACCAGGGATTGCTGGATAGGAAACCCACCCAAAGGCAGTAAGATATGGGAATCCTTGTTACCTCCTTGTGTGAACAGATCACGAGAACTCACCTTTGATGGCTGGTACATACCTAGATATATCAGAAAGTCTCGCCTCCCCCGGCCTGACTGTAAGGAGGGCTGAAATAGGCAGCGAGTGCATATGTCAGCCAAACCACCCTAATACTACCTTTGTGGGCAGCAGCCGCTGCAAATCTAACAACACCCTGAACCACACACCGCTGTGGGCCTTGAATGGAACATATTGGGTATGCGGGGTAAAGGCCTACCCTTGGCTCCTGATGCAGTGGACAGGCTGTTGTTATCTAGCATATGTCGTACCCCAGGTCCGACACTTTGAGTCTCTAATTCAACATCCCTGGGTACATGGCATAGCCAATTCCAGCACTTACGTACGAAGGAGAGCAATAACTGAAGCAGAAAGGTTTGGGATGATAGCTTTTCCCTTTTACGGAGCTGGAAAAGCAGCCAGAGAGTTAATAAATATGGCCTCTGCATTAGAGAAATTAGCAAATGAAACAGCAGAAGATTTCAGGGAGACACAGCAAGCCCTATCTGCAGCTACAGTAGAGTTAGTGGCAGTTAGGACTGTAGCATTGCAGAATAGGATGGCATTGGATTTTTTGTTGGCTAAAGAAGGGGGTACCTGTGCCATTATAGGACAAGAGTGCTGCACTTATCTTCCCGACGAATCAGAAAACATTACCAACCTGGCTAATCACATTAGAAAGTCAGCCGAGAAAATTAAGAAGATAAGAGAACAGTTTCACAATTATAATTCCCCTGAGGTTGATGGATGTTCGGTAACTGGTGGGTAACTCTGATACATTATGGTGTAATATTTATCATGATGATTATTTGCGTAGTAGCTGCTAGATTTATTTGCACCCTGTTACCCCCGATATGAGGACACCGACCTACGGCACCGATGTACCCTAGAATAGTGATCGAGAATTTTGATGACGAAAGCTATGATGAGGAAGAATGTTTAAACATGCATCCTCACCCGGAGGGACATGAACCCCCTTTTCAGCAAGAGAGAGATGTAAAGTTTTAAGTGTTGATCTGAAAAGATCAACAAGGAGGGAACTGTGGAAGAAAAAAATTTTACATCACGAAGGTAGATGGGAATTTAGGCCAAGACAGAAATTACATCGCAAGGGTAGATGGGAATTTAGGCCAAGACAGAAAGGG